TCTCAGCTTACCTTAAAATTATCAATTTAAAAATGTCTTATAGACAGCTAGCTACATTTAACATGCAGTTGTTTCATATAACTGGATTAGAGGGAAATTTTAAGTGATACCAATAAGTTTGTTGTTTTTCATATATTAACATATGGTGGTTTGTAATGCTTACCTCTTTGTCTGAATCAGTATATGAAATAGCTGAGATTCAGATCTGGAATTGCCCACTTGAGTCCAAATCCTGTAATAGCCACCATCTTTGTCTTGAATTTGCCTTTTTCTGTACCTCATTTTCTTCTTTTGTAAGATACGACTTCTGATGGTATCTCCCTCAGAGGGCGGCTCAGAAGCATAAAGCACATAAAACGTCCACTGTCACCACCATCCTCAGCCAGGCTTCTTGGAGCCCTGTTGAGATTGTGACTTGAAATTTGTGAAAGCCCCTTCCATGGCCATGTTTTCTGCTCTTATTTTTAAATGTTCTGTATGTGTCCTCTTCTAGCCTTGAAAAACTGCCCTAGCCTTTTTTTTATTAACTCCTATAGGAACTTCAATTTCAGTGAAGGGCATCTCATCACACTGAGGTCACCCATGACAAATGGTCTTTTATTACCTGCTGATTACAGTTAACCCTAATTTCTTTCATGGCAGCCATGCAGTACCTTCTATTTAAATAGAGCTTTTTCTGGATGTGACTTTTCAAGGCTCTCTAGGTGTAATTCTGATTTAACTTGCCATTCCAAGCAGGACTGTTCTACAGCTGGAGTCATGATTCACTCATTTGTTCTCTCTAGATCTAATTATTACCACGTGGTATCCAGGAGGCCCTGCAGGCATTCACACTTTAAATGATCCAACCTCCTGGGGAAGGGAGTGGGCCTTAGTTATTGCTCTTGTGCACTGAATAGATGTATTTAGTACAGTATTTGAGAACACAGTAACAACTGCTTTGCCTCGGCCATCTTGTTCATGCTAAAATTATAACAAGGATTATTGTGAGAATTCTGTGCTGCCTAATGTAATGCACTAGCTTCTTGTACATTTTCATTCCTGTAGAACAAGTCCTGTTTGTGAAGTATATAAGCATTTGAAGACATCGCCAGTGCCTTGTAAACAAAGGACATATTGCTGAGAAAATACAGGAAGGCAAGAGTAGAAAACCAGAAGTGTAATGTCCCGTGTTCTGTTGCTATACACCCATACTTACAGGTAGCCCTGGAATAAGATGGGACAGCATGAAATAACTGGGAGTCAGGATCACCCTTTCGTTGTCCTGCTTACCTAGATACTTGTTAGAATTAAAAGACTTTTGTCTCATCAGTTACTAGCATCCTACATAGCTATCACAATGGCCTCACGCTGAGAATTTTAATTATAACCCATATTTTAGAATGTCCTCCTCTTGAACATAGTGGAAAGAACTGAGACCCTTCTATATACACATTTCTTGACAGTTACCCAGATGCCCTGTTATCTAGTAGCATTTAAAATACGAACCTTGAGGGAATGAATGGGTGTAGGGGTGAGGAACTGAGTGCCCATTATGTGAAGACTCACCATCAAAGGAACATAGTAAGGATTCATTAACTGATTAAATATTTATGAAGTATATGAAATTAAAAATTCAGAATGCCTGGCTAAATTCACTTATTCATTCTATCTAGCCAACATTTCTTGACTGTCTACACTGCCCTAGGCTCTAGAGGTAAGAAATTACTTGGCACCAGCCCCTTGGCTATCATGGTAGTGGACTTGGTCATGGACGTACCTCAGCCAAACCCCCAGGCTTGCAGCCTGATGACCGTGGAATGTGCCGTGGGTCTGGTTCAACAACAGTCAGTCTTGGCAGTGGACTGTCCACTCGTCTTCCTGGGTTTTTATACTCTTCTGAAGCTTGTAGCCCCTTTTTCCTTGTCCACACTTACCTTCCTGTTTTTCTACAAGAGATCAAGTAAGTAGTTCTGAATGGTATAGCTTAGACAAAGTTTCCTCTCCTCCAAAGAAATCTCCCAAAGATTTCTGTGCCATTTAAATGTGGGGATGCGGGAGATAGTTTGCCTGTTGAATATAATTTCAAAGTTAGCTTTATTGAATGCAACTACTCATTGCACATGCCTTTTTAAAAGGTGTCTTTAAAGTTATTTTTATTGCAGAAACCTTTAGGTGTCTGTTCTTCATGATGTCTTAAAACATTTTACTTTAAAATGAGGAAAGCCAGGGTGTGAGGTCTCTCAGCGGTGAGGCCAGACATCTAACTGTCCTCCTCCCAGTGGAACTTGAGAAATGTTTCTGAAGCAATTTCATGCCACTCTGTGGCCTTTGCTTTTGTTTTTTTGCCTGCTGTGTAGTCAATGACAGATGAACTTTGTCACAGTCTTGCTTCTTGGTTCCTTAATGTCTGTGTAGTAGTTAGTTGGTTTTAATTTCAAATTTATTTTTCATTTTTCTTGGTATACATGAATCCATAGCAAGATAAACAGCTGACATCAGCTGTAGGCAAAACTTTATGTTTGTTTATGCAGAGTTACATTTAGACTTCTACATATTAATATCGAAAAATAATATACAAAACAATATTACAGATTTTTTTTTGAGACAGGGTCTCTCTATGTAGTTCAGGCTGGCCTTGAACTTAACTGTGTACCACAGACTGGCCTCAAATTCAGGAATCCTCAGCCTCCCAAGTGCAAGGATTACAGGCATGCGCCGTGACACCCCACTGATTTTTTAGTTTTACATTGAAGGAAACAAATACCTGTCATTTTCCTTGATTTTTGAAAAGATGTCAAACATCATACAACACAATAAATTACTTCCTTTTTTGAGGTCCTTGATGGCAAAATTCCTATTTATTTTCATGACTACTTATTCAACAAATGAAGTAGTCTTGCCATGTTGTGGCACACACAGTCTTTCTTACTCCTGAGACTAACACCCAGCATCGGTATAGGTATGAGTAGTGACTAAGCCTGCTCTGTCATGGGACAGCCAGGCACACAGTTGTCTCTTCACAGTAGACTCCTGTCTCTTTGCCTGAAACAGCCATGTGGAAAACCACAAATCTACTACAAAGGCTGAGAAAATTTACTCACCCATACATAGCGCATATTCGTTCACCCTAATAAAGATCTTGCATAATGCAGTTTGAGATACAGGTGGACAGACCATCATATTTGATCTTACCTAGTACAAAGCTTGGATGCCTCATCTCATTTGTAGAAGGAAAAATATGTTGAAAACTTAAAAGGTATATGTATAGAAGGAGATATACTAGGAAAGTTTACCACAGCAATATGATAGAACAGTATTAGAAATAGTGTATGTGTCTGTCACCTAGAAAATGGATTTTTTTAAAGCTCTGGGATGAATATTTATTGTTCTACTTCCTAACTTCATCAAAGTCAGCCATGGACCAAATTCAGCCCACTGTTTTTGTAAATAAAGTTTTATTGGAATCACACTTCTTCATTTATATATTGTCTGTAGCCGCTTTCATGATACAATTTCAGAGTCAGTTAGTTACAGCATAAGAACTTAAGGCCCTCAAAGTTGAAATACAGTATTTACTATCTCTCTGTACTGAAAAAACGTTTGCCAGCCTTTGATCTAAGTTGAAATGCCATCTATTGTTAAATGCACCATTACTATATGTACCAATAAAAAAATTATTCCTGTTGAACAATAACAAGCAAGAAGCTTCTTGGTATTAGAAATGTCAAAATATAAAAAAATACATCTTGATGAGTTGTAGTAGACAGCACTTCAAATAAACTCACATTTTATCAATATGGATAAATTTCAAGTGCTTAATGTTGAATGAAAAAAGGCCAATAATACTTTGCAGAATTATATGAACAACATGATGTTATTTATATGATTTCAGTTGAAAATACTATGAATTTCTACAAATGCAGATATGTAGCATAACTAAAAAGAATGGGAAAGATCTAAAGAAAATTAACAGTAGAGCTTTTCCCTGAGAAGAAGAGCAAGGATCTGGGGGGTTGTATGTGACAAGTAGGAAATTTATATTTACCCAAAATATATAGTTCATTAAAGAGGTGATTCATTAATAAAAACTAATTTTAAAAGCATCATAACATGGAAAAACAAACTGTCAGGATAAAGAGTGGTGAATTTCTGTGATAGAAATACAGGTCATTGCTTTTTATCATATTTCACTATAATTGTAAAGAATTTCATGGCTAACTAAAAGGGAGAATCATAATCTTTATTTCTGTCTCAAAGGAGATTAAGGTTTGAAAAGGGTGCATGTTAATCAATTACCTAATATTACAGTCTAATCCTGTTTTTCTACTGGTGCATTAGGGTTAAACAACATGCAAGTCAGGGCCAAACTTCATAGCTAAAACTTTTTTTTCATAATAGTAGTACAGCTAATCTTTAAATGCAATGTACTTTATTCCTCACCATGAGAAACCACCAAGGAGAAAAGTTAAATGTCAGGCGTGTTTTGCTGCACTGAAATAGCTTGTCGTGAGTCATTGTTACTGATGTACTGATGTCATTCGGCTCAGCCTGACCTCACTTGTTTTGCGTTGTGATCTTACACGATTTTATGTGTTGTTGCACGCAAGTCAGCCACTTCTGGTACCTTCTAAATGCATCGTCTTTTCATCTCTCTGTAGCAGGGCTTCCTAAAGTAGTCTCTATAAAGGATATTCCAGAGTCCAAAACTATTAAGGTGTTGATTTACTACCACCAGATGGCCTCTTTTGAAAAGAGGGATTTACTCGCCTGCCACTACTTTCACTTGGTTTTAGGTTGTTGGCTCTGTTGTTGTCATTTTAAGCATGTCTTTCTCTCCCTGGAACTGTTTGGTCAGAAATAAGCTATTCTGCCCGACTTTCGGGATTAAGTAATGAGTCCAAGAAAGTGGTGACAGGAAATGTGGTCCTGGTAACCTTGGGTCTGTGAAGCTCATAGCCACTAGACCAAGAATAGAGCGCTGTGCTTCTCACCATGAACTCCATTTTTCCTTTTTCCAGTTCAATTTCACCATTTAGTATTGAGAGCACAAGACGCCAGAGACGGTCTGAATCCCCAGACTCCCGGAAACGGCGGATCCACAGATGTGACTTCGAGGGATGCAACAAAGTGTACACAAAAAGTTCTCACCTGAAAGCTCACCGGAGGACACACACAGGTACAGGCCCGCACGGCATCTCAGCTCTGCGCTGAAGCCCTTGATGTGCTGCCCTCGCCTATCTTATCTTTCATCTGTCCTGAATTATTTAGTTCCTTTCTTCTGGGTATCATGAATTTTCTCTCTCTCTCTCTCTCTCTCTCTCTCTCTCTCTCTCTCTCTCTCTCTCTCTGTCTCTCTCTCTCTCTCCTCTTTCTTGCCATTAAAAAAATTGAAGTCTTAGTATGAAGTGTATCAGATTTGAAAATGTCCATATGGCATAGTAATCAAAAAGATGAATAGAATTATTCTCTTCTTTTAAAACTACATCTTACCCACCTCCCCACTTACGTTGTTCTCCTTTCAATCCGTTTCCTCTAAATACTAAGCAAATAAAATAAAAATAAAATTCACATATATATAGCTTCGTGGGAAGTTTTATAAACATCTCCACATAATTCTATTTTATTCTCACTGGGTTATTTTTGTTTTTTGGTGTGTGTAGGGAGAGGATTTTTTAGTCTTCACCGTATACAGGGAAAAACATTGCCACGACAGGTCATTCAGTGCCTTTGCCACCACCCCTGTACCCTCTGTGATCTATACCTTTGCCTGGGAAAGGAGCTGACGAGTTGTCACAGCCCTTGCCCACCCATGCTCTGCCTTTTGTGCTCCTGAGCCAGCATCTCCTGGGTTTCTGGGTGCTCCTGTGTGCTCACAGTGGGGGTCATAGGCAAAACTGAAGATGGGAAGAGAGCCCACAATCACACTGCCTTTCCTAGGAAAAGTGACCAGAGACTGGAGGGTGCCATTCACAGACTGTGTAGGAGAGGGAAATGCTTTCCCACAGTTTCCTGGTAAAACATGCCACACAACAAGCAGCCTAGTCCAGTGCCTGCACTGGACAGCAATCAGACTGCAGCATCTGCCTCTAACTGGAAGCGTCAAGTGGAACGATTCCCACGTGGCCATCTAAATAAGATTCCCATGGAAAACAGAATAACCACATGCTGCAAACCATTTTCCAAGCTCAGGTAGCAGAGTAATTGAAATCGGCCTTCCTTGCCATTTACTTATCTTTGTGATTACATCAGGCTATTTGTCTAGCTGCAACACAGGCCCAGGATTCTGAACCTCAGGGCTGGGCATCCTTGTTTCACAATGAAGTCATGGCATGGGAGACTTGCCTGAAGTCAGGAAAGCATCACAGAATCTGGAGTTTACTTTTGTTCGTCTAGCATGTTATGCTTCTAATGTTTCTAAGGTGGTTAATTGGACACATTTTTTAAGTTGCCCTTTCCACACTTCCTCTCTGCACTAAATTCTTTTCCCTTCTATATAATCCAAATTCTTCCTTCTCCCTGATTCCGAGCTTCTCCATGAGAGGTTTTCATGTGTTTCTTAGGTACTATTTTTGAATCAACTTTTTCATCATTAAGACAAAGAATGGGTGTAAAGACATGAACATCAAAGAAGCATGCTCCATCCCATTGGGACTTAGTGAACACAAATCAGAACAAGCATTATGATTGGGCCGTATTACTGACTCTTTTTATGGGATTGTTTCTCTTTAGAAAAATGATCTGTCTTCAATGAATCGTTGCATATTTTGTGTTATTCCTATTCTTGAGGTTTCTGGAATACATATTAGCCTCATTTTAACACAGACACCTCTATTTTACTTACCCATGTGATGAGTGAAACAAAGGCAGATTTTTCATCAGGTACTATTAAGGGATTTAATGCCATGGTGTCATTACAGGATTGCACCTTACAAGATTTAGCATATACTGTGATAGTAAAGGAGACATCTTTTATGCGCCATAATTTAACACAATATAAATCTGGAATACTAGTGCTGAATTAATTAGCTTGGCTTATTAGTAAAATGAGATTGTAGACTGAGGGTCACAGTGGACTTGGTATGTCACAGAGTCTGTTATGTTTCTTCATTAGAGGAATCCTTTCCCTGTGGTGTGATGGAGAGCATGTCACTGCTGTGCAGTTTTCTGCACACTTACACTGGCTTTCTCCTGTTTGATCCTCATGACAACCTGATGGTAGCCATTGTTCATCTCTTTAGCTCAAGTGTGGCTCTGAGTCGAGCATTGTTCCCACAACACTGGTTTTCCCATCTCTTATCATATACTTCAAGGAACAGTTTATTCTTCTGCAAGATAAGTTGGGTGGATTTGAGGGCAGGGTCCATGCCACTTATTTGCTATTTGGGACTCAGAACCTGCTGGGTGAGTAGGGCATCTCTGATGATTACACTGTAATCCCTGCTTACTGGCCCTGATGTTCTCAGCACTATCAGGAGCCACTTACATCTCCATTCTTCTCCAAATCAGATACCCCTGCGTCATGCACTCTTTCTATACTGGAGCTTATCACTGTGTCTGTTAAAATGTTCATGCCACACATTAGGGGAAGAGATCCCCTTTATGGACATCTCTAAATATATGCAAAGATAGTTAAGTGTTCTACGAGTTGACTCTGTTGGGTCATTTAAATCAAGGACTGCTACAGACTGGATGTACTTTATCCCAGTAGTAGTTGCCTCTCAAATGATGTCTTTTTCTATGGGCAGTCTGTTCCCTGTCACTATAAGTGTTTAGGCATTGGCTGGAGATAGAGGACAGAATCATTATTTTGCAGGTTGCACATACTTTTTCCAGTCTGGGAAATAGTTATTCTATACCCATTGTATCGGTTTGGTACATTATTCTAATAAATTGAAATGATTTGAAACCTCTTCCCTCCCACCTTGTTTTTCCTATGTTAGCTCTCTCCTTCAGCTCCTCCATCTTTGCTAGTTAATGGTTGGGTTGTTGAATAAAACAGGTTCAAGAAAAATCCCCTGAGACATGATCTATGGCCCTCCATCCAGATGGGTCTTAATTCTTTAATAGCTAAGAACCCACTGAATTGTCCTACTTCCAACCCACATCTCTGTCTTACACCTACATCAAAATAGCCTTGTTAAATTCCTGCCCCAAACCAAGATGTGTCAAACCATTTATCCGTGCAGCAGACAAATTGTGATAGTGGACCGTCCATATCTGCAGGTTCCACCTGTGCAGAGTCAACCACCCTTGGATAGAAACTATTTTGGGGGAAAAAATTGCACGTGCTCTGAAAATAACATGGATTTTTTTGTGTGTTATTCCATAAGCAATATAGTACAACACCTGTTTAGCATGTTAGATAGTATTATAACTAATACAGAGATGATCTAAGGTATGTGAGAAGATGTGTGTAGGTTATATGTAAATGCCATTTCATATAAAGGCCTTGCATAGCTGCAGATTTTTGTATTTGCAATGAAGGGCAGGAACCAATCCCCCCGGATACCAACAAATGGCTGTTGCCTGTGCAGGCATGGTCTTCTAAACTACCAGTCAGTTGCATTACTCTTTTTTAATGTAATACAAGTAGATATTAATAAAGAAAATATAAAAATAGTTCTATGAAAAAATAATTTTTATAACAAAAATAATTAGAGAATAATATTACTTTTAAATAGGAAAAAAGAAAAAGAACTGAAATTGGGTTAATTGCTGTAACTGGTTCAAAGTGAGCCTGTACTGGCTTCTGATTTATAAATATTTACAAAATTTCATAACTTAGTGTTCAGAATGTACACTTTCTATAGAAATTCAGGTTGGTTCACATGCTTTTAATAAATATCTTCTTAACCTTCCCCTTGCTTCAGGCATATTGAGTAAGTTACTTGTGTGTGACCAACAATAATTATTGTGGCATTTGGGATAATAGCAAATGACTTAGCAAAACCACTCACACTGCAGGAGGGGAACAGGCAGCAGGGAGAACATTCTATGAGAAAGTCACGTTAATTCTGCCTTTAACACCAAATCTCTCTGTGCTTTATTCATACTTGATCAGTTGTCTAAGACTTAATATTTCAAACGTATTTATGGAAATGTGAAAGAAACATTTTCAAGATATTACCAAGGAATTTATAGAAGTAGGAGTACTTTCTTAAATTTAAAATTAATTAAATATATTTTCACTGATGTCCAATTTAGATAATAACTTGAAGACATGGCCAAGTAGTTTGACATGCCTGTACTATCTTAACACTCAATGATAAATTAAGGCATGTTAAAAAGGAAAAATATATCTCAGCAGTCACACTGTGTTATTGTCAGGAGGTTCAGTATGAACTGGCCTAAATTGGGTGTCTCTTCTACATGATGCAGGTTGCAGTATTTAAATGAATATGCAGTATATTTAAATTAAGTCATTTAAATCTGTGCTATATATAAATACTATGTACTGTGGATGTCCACACTTTAAGAATTGTGTTGAATATGAAATAATTTAAATTTGCATTTCATAAGATAATTTGGGTATTGCTGTTTAGAATTACCACTTTTCTATTCAGTAACTGCTGTGGCAATTTCTGAAGTGCAGTATAAGCAAATAAAATTGAGGCGTTGGTGATTCATGCAGCCACTAGATGGAGCACTAGGCCCAGTTGTTGTTTTAAACTAGCTGAGGGTCTGAAAAGAGGAAGCTAGAACTCTTCTGGTGTGTATGACATGATGTTAAAATGGAACATGATTGTCAGTGTTCTGCAGAGTATTGCATTTTAATGATAAATTTTTAAAAAGATAAAGTTAAATTTAAGACCAGATTTTTAAAAAGTGACTAGAACACTTGGAAGTTTTCCATTTCAGATGAACCTGGAAATATTTTATATTCCAAATTTATATCTTACTGCATAATAAATCTGTGAGACTCACTAGCCAGTCATACTTAATAATCATTTTAATTCATTTGAAAACTCTTTGTCTTAAAAGTTAGCCAAATTAAAGCAGTCACACTTCTTATACATCTGGCTTTACCAACGATAATTCATGTCAGAATTTTGCATGTTAAGAAAGTTTATTCATATGGATCCTTAAAAATACTAACCAACTTTTTAAAAATATTTTTTATTATGCATGTTTTCAGTACATAGTGGTGACACCGTGGGAAGATGATACATGTACATA